AAAAACTCTTAAGATGTCTGTGAGCTGCTTGACTAGCAAGAAAAGGTGGGGAGCAGGCAGGAATTCTCAATAAATGATAGAGAATAAAGCGTTTAAAAAAAAGTGAAATTAATTTTCTAATCATTTAGCTACCCAGAGGCATATTTAGAGTATCTACTGCAGGTATCCCAAGAGCTGCAGTTATTTTGAAGGTGAAGTAAAGACTTTTGGACTTGCCAGTAGGCTTGACTGGGTCACCAGCCACCCCTGGAGGAGCAAGGAGGAGATGTTTTGGAAAGCTCATGGAGTAATCGAGAGCAGCAATTTGAATGAAACAATTGCCTCAGAATATGGATTATTAAAGTTAAAAAAGGTACTGAGCTGAAACAAAACTGCCCAATTGTACTGTTTTCTTCACATGCTGAGCTGTTTTCTGTAGAATAACCATTTTTCCAGGTTCACAAAAATAACCACATTTTTCTATATTTTATATTTCATATCTATTTTATATTTCATGTATAGAATGTAGAATTTTTTTGGTTTTTACTATCTGAAATAATGTGACAGACAGTTGCATCCTGCCAGATACTGTGCATCGGGTCTGATACTTTTAAGTTAATGTGTCAAGAAATTGAAAGCACACACACAAAAATCAAACAAAAAAACTTAAAAGCCCATGTCTAATATTGTTCACTTTCCCTTGAGTTTTGATCTGGCATTGCTGTGGTGACCTTTTATCTGCAGGCTAAGAATGTGAAGTCTCAGACCTTCAGAAAAACTCTCTGATACTCCCAAAGAAACTCTCTCTGAAAACATTTAAATTTGTAACAAATCTAACTACAGACTATAAATATTTTAGTAAAATTGTGAATCTCTGCAGAACAGAAATTGTAGATTCAATGGAGGCAGAAGTTGATGAATTCCTCCACAAACTGCTATTGCATCTGTGTCACTAGGTTGGATAATTGCAAGTAAATATTCTTACCCTGTGAAGCACACGTACAAAACTGAGGAGTTTAATACCTTGATGAAGACAGGCACTGATCCTTCAAATCACTTAAGCACATGTTTAACTTTAAGCACATTAACATCCTCACTGAAGTAAAAGGGACTGCTCAGGAGCCTAAAGTTAACAAGTACTTAAGTTATTTGTTGGATCACGTTTTAATGTCCTTTCACTTTGGTCATTTGTCAATTAATTGAAAAAGTCATCCTGAGACAAATTCAAGCACAAAGCTCTTTAGCATAACTGGGATTCTAAGAAAGGTTTCCACTATAAAGCTTCTTTATTTGTCCAATTTTATTTTCTCTTTAAAAAGATGACAAGATTTTGTGGTACATGGTTTCAGGAGAGGACAATGAAACGCATCCCAGTCAGCATAAGGAAGTTATGACACCACTTTCCAAAATCTCCTATTTAATCTCATCTCTGGATGATTTTTATAGCATGAAGTGTGCATAGGAACAGATGTGTTAGAAGAGAGAAAAGTCAAAGCACCTGTTACCAGCACTGCATATCTGGGTATCTATACATGCACACTTAGAACCAAGGAAAAATGTTAAACCCTGCAGTTGTCACAGCAAAAGGTCTCCTCTCAGTCAGTCACTCTGTGCCACCTAATGTTTTTATAGTGCAGTTAATGTGCATCTGCTCTTTACAGGAATGAGAAATATCAACCCTGATTTGTTCCCTTTTCCTTCTGCTTTTTTTTTCCCATTTTATTGGGAAAAAAATTTATAACCATTATTAATTGTTGCTGTTTTATGCTCTAGGAAAATAAACAAATATTTCAATCCCAAAGCCAGAAAACTCAGCTATGTGCTTTATTCTTTCACTGTTTGTTGTGGTATTTATATCTAAATTTATATCTATATTTTCCTTCAGCTGTAGTCATGACACCTTCTTAAACGAGTGGGGGAAGCCAGACTACTTGTCTACACAGCAGTGAAGTCTTAGCAACAAGAAATTATTTAAGGATAGGGAAAACCAGTAATCTCCAAATAACAAAATTGTTCCCTGCTTTCCTCATCAGAATGGCCCAGATCAATCCTACAAAAATAATCATGGGTTTCTTAAAGGAACCTGGTTTTCAACAACATCATGCCTCCCTCCTACTGGTTTTATGTTGATACTTCACCAAAACAGTTGTTAATACTAGAATATGAGAAATAAGGGTCACTGAACAGTGTGCACTTGATCCTTTTGGAATTTGTCCTGAGATTTATCAGATAACTTTCCCTATCTTTAGTCTGGGAGCTGGGATCCTCCTAACAAACAGATACATCCTAATGGGATACAACAAGAGGTTTTACTACTACAGCAACACGTCAGGTCTGAGAGGATTCGTTTGGTTTTGCCATTTTCTTTGGTCATATAGGGATGAATTATTTGACATGAAAACCCATCAGCATCAATTAAATTCCAAAAAGTACAACAGCCTAATTCAGTGAAGCTGACAGTGAAGGGGACAGAGAACATGTCCACTTTACTGAAAATTGCTTGTTATTATCAGAATTATCTCCATCCTAATGGAGCTTTAATCAGCTAAAAGCAGACAAGACAGCGTGGGAAAAAAAAACCAAACCTGAACCAAATTATCTAGTTTCTAAACTTGTAATTTTATTAAAGAAAGAGCTTGTATAATTTATTGCTAATATAATGAAGACGAGCTAAGAGCCTTAAGTCCAGTGATTTTGGTGTTCTCTGCTGTAAGTTCTACAGCAGAGCAGACAAATTTTAAGACACATTATTCTAATTTCCCATGTCAGAATTATTACTGCTCCTGAAAATGTTTTGTAGGGGGAAGGCCAATCTCTGTTGCTTTGGACAGAGAGGAGCTATGGGATGGTACAGCTGAAAGGCAGAGATTGACACTGAATTGTCTCAATGAACCAAAAACCTAAAAATAGATTAGAATTAAACCAATAAACCAAAATCTTCTCTCAGAATTATCAGAGAAGACAGGCAGAAGCCAGTGCCACACTCCTTGCAAGCCAGACAAAGACTTGGTAACACTCCACATGTCAAAGCCCAAATCTGAGTCCTATTCAAATCACGTCCTTGAGCCAGGGTCTGAATTGAGAAAACAGATTTCCATGGAATTATGCAGCCTCTTCTGTTCACCAATGGGAGTTATTACTTGATCAGAATAATCAGTGTGAACCACCTAGTGTCCTTCCAGAAAGGCTGCAATTAATGATTTAATAAGAAAATTCTTCTTGAAAGAACCGTGGCATAAATGCAGCAATGAGATCCTCAGCTACACTCCAGACTGTTCCTTTTATTTTACCAAGCAAAAGGTGCAGAGCAGCCTCAAAGAACTGCACATGCCACCAATTTTTAAGTGGGAGAGGAAGAGAATTCTCTTGGGTGCAACACAAAATAACATCTGCCAGACATCAGGCTGCTCCCAGAGGAACCCCTCCGATGCTTTCAGGGAGGAGACTGCAATAAGGGGTGAAATTGTGTCCCACATGAAGAAGAATGCTTCAGGTGAAATGCTGGGCAATGCTACAAGACTGTAAGGTATAGAGAAGGGGATGCTACACTTATATAGGCTGAAGAAATATATCAGTTACTTGGGGGTTTCCTGCAGTCCAAGAAATGATGAAAAATTTGGAGGGCAAATTAGTGAATTCAAGCCGCCTTTCCCAAGCTGAGAATTCCACCCGTCCAACCAAAGACAGAACACAAAAATCTTATTTCATACCTCTTCTCCAACTCAGAAAACACACTAGCAAGGTTACCTTATAGAATTATAATTTTTTTTTCCCTGTTATTCTTCTCCAGCATCACTGTAATACATCCTTCTCTAAATAGCAGAATTTAGGGTTTCTGATTGTTCTTGCACTTACCTTGAGTCCACGAAAGCTGCCTGGGCTTGTTGGTGAAGAACTGGAGGACTTTGTAGATTTTGGGGTGGATAATTGACTGGTTGGGGTTCCATTAACTAGCCAAAGCAATCCAAGCAAACAAATGGAAGAAGAGATGAATACAAGTTAAAAAAAAATTAACTTGCTTTTCAGCCTAACATACCTCTCTGAGAAATCACCACTCCAGTCTGCACACAAAGACCAACACAGACTCCTCAGAGTTTAGAAATAAATCATACACTTCTCTATATGATATGTACATGTATATTCTGTATAACAGCCACATCTTTTTAAAATGATGTAATTTATTGTGATATTGCACAATAAAATCTGAGGAAAGCGTTCCTAAAAACATTTTAATGTTCCCTCTGCTTTGGACCTATACTTTACTTTCTAGGTAGAATGTTTCACAGAACACAAGTTGTTTTGTTTGTTTTTCCCAAGAGAAACACACACCCAAACAAAAAAGAAGTATAGCTCTTGAGATGAGAAAGAACTTAAGCAAGAGTTCTGAAAAATAATGGTCTAGGGTAAAAAAAAAAACCACTGAGGTAAAAGGCAGGTTATTTTTGAACTCCTAAGAAGTTACAGTGTCTGTGAAAACATAATATCCTCTTTTCTTGAATTCAACTTAATTGCTAATCAATATGCATGTTACTTGTGTTAAAGACACTTTCTCTTTGAACTGAAGAGGTTTCTCAGTGTTTTAGAACTTTAGGCTGAAATAACCCAAGATAAAAAAAAAAGGGAGGTAAGAAACTGCAAATAAAAGTGAAAAGTATGACAGGTTTTTTTGCACTGCTTTTTTCACAGCAACTCTTACACAGCTTTTTGTGCTGGAGGAAATTTTCTATTATTGGAACACAGATGTAGAAATAATACAAATTTATAACACAAATTTGTAATACAAATCTATGGTTCCTCTGCCTGCAGTCAAAAAATACCTTTACAAATTTAACTTGGACACTGTTAGAAGATGTTCAACAACCAGAAAGCATTGTTTATATTATTTCATTCAAACAATCTACTTCAACAAATAAATCTCCAACCATTATGTCTGTGGTTCACTGAATGCAAAACCTGTGGATTTTGGTGAAGAATATGGTGATTTTGGCTCACCTGGGGATTTTGGTGAAGAATAAGCACTGGAGTAGTGGCCACCCCTCTTTACTGTACTCATACATTTGACACAAAGGAAAAAGACATTAAGGAAAGAAGTTATTAAGAAGCTTTGAACATGCAGGAAAAGAAGAAGGGTAAATAATGATAAATAAAGGCTACATGACCAAAAATGGCAAATAAACAGAGGATAAATACCAGATACATTTTTTCAAATTAACCTAACCAAAGATTGCCCAAGTAGAAGCAAGTAAGGAAATGACAACACCCCTTTCTAAACACTTAGCACAAAATCCACTGCTGAGAGTTAGCCCACGTTATCTCACTGGAGTTAGGACTGCATGAAATGCAGACCAGTTGTGAAACTTGCCCTTCATCCTGCATTTTTCTTTGTTGTTACTGCAATCCTTTGAAGCTTTTCAGTTAAATATTCAACCTTTATAAACAGATGATAAACTGCTGGCAAAAACACAACGTGAACCTTGTGTTTGAAATTATAGAAACTCCAGAATAGTAATAAAAAAATTCTCTGTTAATGGACACTAACATTCCAGAACATCTAAAATAGCTTGAAACAGCAAGATCCCTTCTTTCTGACAATATTTAGCTTATACAGGAGAAACCTTTCACACTGAAAAGACTTAAGGGTATACTCTAGCTCAGTGACCACAAATTTAACCACACGACCATCCTGCAGTCAACAGCCTTCAAGAAAATCAATTGCCATCCAGAAAACCCATCCCAAGTGTACAATTAGCATAAATTATTCCAGTGTTCATGAACTGAAACTTTTCGTGCCTGTTAATGAAAAAAGAGAAACCACATTTCTTCTCAGAATTCCAAAATAAATGCAAATTTTATTGTCAATTGGTATTAAATCTATTAGAAAACCTGAAAAATTCCCCCTCGGGAATCAAAGCATGGCACTTGTATTTCAGACAGAGCCAAGAGTTTTCTACCCCATTACACTCATTCTAACTCTGATGTGTTTTATGTGTTCAGCTGTTTCCCTGTAGTACCTGAGGCAGGTGATTTGCTCCGACGTGAAGGTCCTGGGCTTTTGGAGCCAGGATGCCTCATGCCAGATGATCGGGAGTAGGAGGACTTCATAACACGGCATTCTGCAGAGCAAGCAGGCAAGAGCTGTGACAACAGGCTTCCCCCAAATGCTATTGTTGCTGTTTATCCTCCAAAAAATGGGTAACAGCCATTGGACATTGAAAATGGAAAAATCCAGTATGCTCTAAAAATTCTTGCCTAACTGAACGAAGCAAAATTACCAGAGTAGAAATACATTTGAGCTACTTGGTGTCTATAACATCCTGCATGTCATATTTCTTCACATCTTGAAGCTGGATTATTACTGGAATTCCAGTTTGCAGCTACCCACAGCTGAAGAAGTAGAAAAGTCAGCTGATGCCAAGGTCCTTCTGATAATTCAGCAAATCCTCCCCAGTGCAATGGCAGCTTCATGCAGGGTAACTGCCCAGCAAGCCCCATTTACCTTCTTCTGCAAGACATTGATGTTATGACCAATTTAAAGATTGGTGAAAAATGTCTATTGTTTCCAAAAGGCTGAGACAATACTTTACTGCTATTTCCCATCACCTATACATCACTAAATAAGGGGCAGCCTCAATGGGAAGGAATCAATAGGTATACATGCATTGACATTTTGGAAACATTTTAATTCCTACCGTTGGCCTCCACTGCAAATCACTCCCTAATATAAATTTCCTTCCTAATTTTGTCCTAGTTATTCATCACTCCAATGTCAATGCTATCCTTACGATGTCATGTTATCATCAAAAATAGCAAGTGCAGCCACATGCTGTGCCAGTCAATTCATTTTACACTCTATGCCCAATCTGCTTAAGACCTCCAGGCTTATTAGAAGAAGCAGGGACCACCAAAGCTGAAGAGATAAAGGGAGGAAAAAAACCTCCATCCCTGGCTTCTCAGAAAGGAAAATAACCCAGTTAGTCTGTGCATGGTGTAAAGGGGAAAGCAAACTCACAGCCTTAAAATCTGCAAAGAATATCCTGATTTTGCCCAGAGTGCCATCTGCAGTGTGAGTTAATACAAACATGATATTCCATTCCTGCAGAAGAATAAAATCCTGTCCTAGCTAGCCTAAAACTCTGTTAAAATATACCCTTGTTGTCACCTCCACATTAGCTGAATCAACATCATCAGGCAGTTCTGGAAAAGCAGCATGCTGACAATAACAACAGAATGGGAGTCAGCTGAATCCTCCAATCACCCAAATGTATGGATCAGTGGTTAGACAGATACCTACACTCCTTGATGCAACTGAATATTCTGTAATGAAATTATGACATGGGTAAAAAAACCCCAAAACCCTCTTATTCACAATCTGGAACTCTCTTCAAATAATTGATGATTCTTACCAGGGCAAGATTCCTTACCAGAGATCAATTTTTTCATAGAACAAAATCAAGGTAACTCTGCAGCTGAACTAATATAGACAGAAAAAAACATGTCTAGTAGGGCCTGTTGTGATAGGACAAGAGAGAATGGTTTTAAACTAAAAAAGACTAGGTTCAGACTAGATATAAGGAAGGAATTTGTTCTGATGAGGGTGGTGAAACACTGGAACAGGTTGTCCAGATTGGTGCTACATGCCCCATCCCTAGAAACATTCAAGCTCAGGTTGGGTGGGGCACTGACCAACCTGATGAGTTGAAGATGACCTTTAATGGTCCCTTCCAACCCAAACCAGGCTATGAACACAGAGAAAAGAACAACATATGTATGCTTTGGCATTCCAAGCCAATACTAAAACTGCCTGACAGAGGAGAGACCTTTATTCTTGAACTTACATTCTAAATTTTCTCTTTACAGGAAAAAAAATTTGTAAACAAGTTAAATTCATGACCCATCAATAGCAGACAGCAAAGGCACAGAGTCCCAGCTTGTCTCACCTCCTTCCCCACCCAACATCCCTGACAATCTCACACTATGACCAGGCTCAACACTTGGTCCATAGCAAACTGGAATGTGTGACTTGTCCAGCAGGACAATTCAAGACCTGAAATGAGTGTGGTTAGAGATGTGATTTTCAAAAACCTCATGAAGACAGCAATATGGAAATCATCTTACAGTCCCAGATCTCAACAGTGAACGTTTTTAACGGAGTTCAGATTCATGAGATCTGTGGCTGAACCTTTTCTAGATTTAATGCTGTTTTCCATGTAACTTTAGGGACAGGGTCTTCTCTCCCAGAAAACAGATCATGTTTGTAAGTGCATTTTAACTGACTTAGAAAATACAGATGATTGTTTTGATGGTTTGTAAAGATGTTTTAATCCCTAGGATAATGTATTCCCATGTCTATTTTCCTGAATCACACAAGTCTTGGGGCTGGGAGGGCAGGGGGAGGGAGGGGTTCCTTATCTCAGTGGGTTGAGGTCTTACCGCTGTGGTCCAGGACGAAGTCGTCCTGAGCGTACCGGTACTTCTCAGGTCCACAGGCAATGAAGACATCATCATCTCCAAAGAAGTCCTGCAAGCACGTCACCTGGACAGCAAAATATACAAAAATCAATCAATGCAGTACTTTCCAAGACCAAATCTTTAGTTAGCCAGCAAGAATTAAGAATAAGTTTGTGTTTTGATACCGTAATGTTCTTTTATGAGGATAGAAACACTCCAGTTCTCCAGTACTTGATCTCTCCCTGTAGTGCAGAAACCTCAGGCTCAAGAATGCAAAATATAACTGCCTCTCACCTCCAAAAACACCTTCTCTTACATTCAGCACCCCTGCTTTTGCCTATGCATGCTGATGACTTCAACAAGAACACGTAGAAACAAAATTCAAATATCAAAGCTTCTTGTACTCTCACATTCACTTTTGGGAAAATCTGTCAAGTTCAAATGATTTCATCTATACACGTAATTTTTTTATGCTCTGAGGCATTTAATTTTCATGTTTTAATGTTCTGCTAAAAAAAAATAATTCCCTCTTTTATTAAAAGATATTCTGTGGTTGAGGAAAAAAGCAACAGAGTCACTTCCATGTCCTTTTTCAGCTCTCTCTGTTCTTAATTCTTCCAGTAATGGTGTTACAGTGTATCTCAAGAAGGTTGGGGATATCAGAAAGAGGAATGTTTAAGACATTCTTTAGAAACACAAGACCAAAGACCTTGAAAAAAACCCACTCCTCGGAAGTCAATCAAGACGAACTTGTGAAGAACTGTCAGTTTTAAAATCAATTAAAACCAAAAATGCCACAACAAACAAGCCCAAACTCAATCCACCTCCCCTGTAAGAAAAAGAAGTGTTTGCAGAGAGTAAGCTATTTTTTTTTTTTAATGTGAATGGATTAAACATTTACAGTATGATTTTTTCCCTGTTCTTTCTAGCATTACACACCCAAACGAGCTCTGGGAATAACAGATATGTAGAAGCTAAGAAAGTTAGAACCATTTGTTAAAACCATGTAATTAAAGAGATTAAAACCTGCTTTTTGGGAAACCAGCTTTCTCCTGTTCCAGGTCCCTGTCCAAACCATTTGCCCATTTTCCCCAGGGCGATAAGAGCAAAGCTTGGCAGAACTGTGGAGGGGTCTCTGGTGCCTGCAGCATCCTGAGCACCACTCAGAATATCAATGACCCCCAGCTCTCTGCACAAACCCCACCCCGGGCCCTCACCAGCAGCACAGTTGTCATGGCAGCAACAACAGAGCAAGAACCTCTCTGCAGAGCCTCACGCAGGCCCCAGCATTGGTGTCACTGGGTTAGGCAGCCAAAGGAGCCAAAAATCCTCTCATTATCTGACCACTGCAGTAGCAATCTGCTCTCACTGACAAGAGACGTTTTCATCTTGAAACTGCTGCTGCTAGTGAAGGGAAGAAGTGGGAATAGCTGGGTTCAAAAGGCTGCACAAATGTAAGAGGAGATTTGCTGACATGGGGTTTATTCCTTTCTGCTAATTTATTCCTCTCTGCTAATTTATTCCTCTCTCTACTATTAAGTATTATATATACTTATATATCTATCTATATATATATTATATCTCCTATAAATACTAATTTATTCCGCTCTCTACTAATAAGAGGACTCATCATCATTTCCACGGATCTCAAGAACCCAGCAGCCAACCCAAATTTACCCTACAGGAAAAGCTGTGAGAAAACTTTGAGAACACTTGTCCCAGTAGCCTTGCTGGACATGAGCAGAGATGTTCTGTGAGGCACAAGGTCACACCCAAATCCCTATAAGCCAGTCTCATTTCCACAAGCTCTGCCCACCCATCACTGCTCCGCTCCCACCCCCAGTGCTGTTTTGAGCAGGTTAAACACGATGATTTAGCAAAGCCTAAAATTAATCTATTGTGACCCAAAACCTCCTCCTTCCCCCTTAACCCATCCAGTCATCAGCTGAGAGCAAGAGGAGAGAGTGACAGGTCTTATGTCAGACTCTGGGAACTCCACAGAGCAATGTTTAAAAACCATTTAAACATAAATTGTTTGCATGGGACTTTGACTGCTGGAGATCCACTGTGGTCTAACCTGCAAATCACAGAAATCCACACCAAAGACAACCTAAACCTAGCTCATATTAGCAATTTTTTTATACCTTTGAGGAGTCCTCAATCAGTTTAGAAATTTAAAACCAAATTAAATTAAGGTTTTAAATTTAAACCTTGTTTATTTTTAAATACAATACAATTTCCTAGCCAAACTATAGCTATCTTCTGCTGGTAACTCCTCTGCCTTCCCTTTCTTAGAACAGACAGTAACTTATTGGTGTTCCTCTGAGAAGTCACACTGCTACCAGGCTGTCCTGTTGCACTGCTAGCTATCTTCTGCTGGTAACTCCACTGCCTTCCCTTTCTTAGAACACAAAGTAGCTTACTGGTGTTCCTCTGAGAAGTCAGACTGCTACCAGGCTGTCCTGTTGCACTGCTTTTGTTCAAAATATGTCAATATTCACAGCAGGATAGTGCATATTTGTTTGGGTAGGACTGGATTGGACTTGTACTCTGTCCTTGAAACATGCTTCTGATGGCTTAGAACTACAAGTGGTAATACAAAGGGACAGGAAAAGCAAAAAAGCTGTGCCAGAAATTTCAGAACAAATATAACTCAAAGTCAACATTATATATATATATATTTTTTTTAGTGAGGTCACCCACAGCATTATTGTGTATCTGTTTCAGCAGAATCTGTTCACTTGCATTCTCACCAGAGCTTTCTGAGACAATGTGCAAATGACTGTGGGCATCACTGCATCCTCATGGGCCCAAAACTGCTGTGCTCAACATTGCACCAAAGATCTGAGGACAACAAGTCAAGCAGCAGCACCAGGAGGATTAAATTCCAGTTGGCTTCAACTGCAAGAAACACAAAGTATGCAGGAGGCTCCGTGATGCAATCACTGAAAACTTGAATTTCTTGGTACAATTAAAGTGGTCTTTTCTCATAAAACTCTTCCCCCTCTAATTGAGGAAATCTTCAGACACTGAAAGGATGAAAGTATTTGAAAAGCATGAAGATTTTTCTAGCAGAGGTACATATCAATAAATATTATGTTACAGAAGTGGCCTGACTAACAGTAGTTTGCAAGAACATTAATGGTAAAAGCACTTCAAAAATCACACAGCTGAAAGCACAAAAATGTGGTTTACAAACAGAAAAAAAAAATGAAGCACAAACTCAGAGGAATGGGCAAAAATGTAAGTTAAAATGTGACAAGTGGGTGTTGAAAGCTAAGGGTTAGGGTTAGACAGGGAAATATCTATCTGAAAAATCAGTTTCATGGTCCCCAGCTGTCTTTCAGTGAAGTATTTTCATGTCACATACACCCATCATGCTTAACTTTTAAAATAAATATTTATAACAAAAGGAGAGTTTGGTCTTTCCTAAGCAATATTTCAGTCAGATAAGATGCTGGACTAGAATATACAAATTGTGATCTATACAGCATTTCCTTTCCCATTGCCATCTCCCAGGCCTAGAAATGTAATTTATACCAATCCCTGCTCCCACCTCTGAACCTAACAGTCCCATCAGAAGAAACATGGATAATGACTCCTTTATAGACAGAATTCAACAGGTATTTAATAATTGTCCTTTATGATGAAGTGACAAGTAAGAAAGTCGAATTATTTAAATGAACCTTTATCCACAAAGTATTTGTCCTCTAACATCCAGATGGAACACCACCCCCCAAAAAAAAGACTGACACCATGGAGGTTTTACAAACACCTAAAAAATTACTGAAGAACTCAATTCCTCTCCAATCTTTAGCAGCAAAGTGAGTCCTGTAACCATATCTCAACACCCTCTTATCCGGGACCTCGCTGAACAAATTGTATTTATTCCAGCTCTGCAAATATGCTTCATTCTAAATGTAGAAGGAAGAGCTGTAAAGGAAGGAAGAGACAAACAGTTTGGCTCAATTTAGCAGGGCTGATTCCATTGAAATGAGCAGCAACAGGATTGTGGAGTTTAAGTCTGCAGAGCCACACCCTGTGTCTGGGGAAAGCTTCTCTGGATGACAAACGCTCTACATCAGCTAAAAATGGCATTAAAACTTCAAAACTTGAAAAAGGTATGCAAGATGGTTTGTATTTGTGCTAACAATGGAAAAAATATTGACATTACTGATTTAAAACAGGATATGGGGTAAATATTTTAAAAAGGAAGCACGTAGCATAGGAGGCAAAAGGAAAACTAAAATAACTGGCGTGCACAGTAACAGCTGGATTCGTGTCTGTGCTCTCAGCTGAGCAGGATTTACAGGCATTTGAGACTGGAATTCTTAAAGAAATGCAGTGGGTTTCTTCCCCAAAATAAAAGCAGACACTTTGTTAAATGTCAGTATGACAAATCTAGATACAACCTTCCTGCTACCACCGTCAGTAAGAGGAGTCTCCACTTTTCTCTTGAGAAATGCTGCTCTGCATAAACTGGGACAGATTACAGCTATGCTGTCCTGATGGTTTTGCCCCTTGCATCAACCTTTATTTATTAGTAAGCAAAAGTCAAGTATTTGGATGTTTTGCCAGCCAGGTCTTATTGGTAACCATCATTTTTGTTTCCACTTTTCAAATACTGTCAGCACTGCCTCTTTGCTGCCACACAAATAATCTCTTTAGAATTCTTGCAGTGCTTTGGCAACTATCAGAAATTCAAGGACTTCTGCCTATCCTGAAGTGGAAAATGCAAGGGGAGCACTCCTGCAGAAACAGGTCAGTTCCTGCCCCATTTCTATTTCGGTTCCATCACCAACAGGGGCAGACTTGACTTTCAAAAGAAAAGAGTTTCCTCTGGGCAGCCTCAAGACCTCAAAAAGGAAGGTGAGAAGGGCATTCCTACCCTTTCCTAAAACTACTGTGACTTTAACATGTATTTGCTTACCTTGGAACTTCCCCTTGGTCTCTGCACCTTCACAAAAACCTGACCAAGGGAAATGGGGGGGGGTGTTTAACCAATATTCTTAACAACTTAGTAAGTCCCCAATATCCTTCATGACTGAAACGAAGCCTGGCACAGAAGAGGTTCAGCACTAATTT